TATATTTTTAAAATTCCAATTCGATAGTTCTAGCTCTCATATTCTCTCATGTTAAATATCAGTCACATTGGCTTTTTTAAAACCACTTTCAGGGAAAAGTTTAAAAAGCAATAAACATCATGTTATCTTTTCTTTTTTTTTTTCTTTTATTTTGAGACAGGGTCTCATTGTGTCAGCCAGGCTGGAGTGCAGTGGCATCATCATGGCTCACTGCAGCCTCAACCTCTTGGGATCCTGAGTAGCTGGGACTACAGGTCCACGCCACTACGTGCGGCTATACATTTTGTAGAAACGGGGTTTCGTCATGTGGCTCAGGCTGGTTTTGAATTTCTGGCCTCAAGCAATCCACTTACCTCGACCTCCCAAAGTGCGGGATTACAGGTGTGAGCCACCATGCCTTGCTAGCATGTTTCTTTTAAAGCTACCTGACAGTAAATTGTGAAAAGAATTGACCAGAAATAGAGACATTTCCCTGCTATTGTTTTAAAAAGAAAGTTGTGTTCATAATACACATATTGGCATGAATCCGAACCCAGGAAATTCTTTATCAGAGCCCAATTTGTCTACTGAGTGTTTTTAAGGACTGGATTGTCTCAATCTAAGAGGCAAGAATACCATCCACTCCAAATTCTTGGTGCCACAAAAACAATGTTCTTGCATATTCCTGGACAGCCTTAAATATAAGCAACAATTAAGGGGAAAATGCAAAGAGGGAGAGGGAAAAGAAAAAATTAAAAGAAGGAATAAAAAGAGGAGTATAAACAAGAGGTGTCTATTGGGAAATGGATTTCTATGACAGCACCTCTTCTAAACTACAGATTTCTTATTTTGATCAAAATGCCTTTCAATTAACTCCAGTTCAGGAGATTGGGGCAAAAATGCCTAATACCATTCCCAGAAGAAGGATCCCTCACAGTTGAGCAGGAAATAATTCAGACGAAGGCAATTTCAGTGAGACGGCCACTGGATCACAAAAACAAATTACTTGAAAATACAACTCCAGCTGAATTCAGGTTTTTCACATATTGGTATTTTGGGGGTAACATGAAGCAAATTTCTGGTTTTTTTATGGTGGTAAATACACATAAAAATGTACCATTTAAACCATTTAAAAGTGTACAACTCAGTATTATTTTGTACATTTACAATGGTGTACAACCATTACCACTATCAAGTTCCCAAACATTTGTATCACTCCAAAAGGAAACCTGTGTTCATTAAGGAGCTACTCTCCTCTGCTTCCCTTCAGTCCCACACAGCCACGAATTTGTTTTCTGCCTCCATGGATTTACCTATTATGGATATTTTTTATAAAAGGAAGCAAACAACATGTGACCTTTTGTGCCTGGCTTCTTTAACTGAACATGTTTACATTGTAACAAGGGTCAGTACTTCATTCCTTTTTATGGATGAATAATATTTCATTGTATGAATAATATTTCATTGTATGAGTAATATTTCGTTGTATGAATATATGACAATTTGTTATCCATTAATTTCTTGATGGATAATTTGAGGGTTTTCCACCTTTTGGCTATTATAAATTGGGCTGCTCTAAACTTTCCTGTACAAGTTTTTGTTTGAACATCTGTTCTTGATTGTCTTGGGTATACGCCTAGGAATGGAACTGCTGAGTCAAACAATATTCTATGTTTAACATTTTGAGGAGCCACCAAACTGTTTTCCACAGTGGTTGCACTATTTCGTATTCCCACTAGCAACAAATGAGTCATATGTCTTTAAGCTTTGGGGTCCATTTTATAGTCATTCGAAAAGAGTTTTCAACTGATACAATTTTATATTTCATTTTCTATCAACTATGCATGATCTGCACTATTCATGGTGCCAAAAAGTGACAAACCACTTGTGCATTCATCTACAGGAGATTGTTTAAATCAAATATGGTATATGAGGGCATACAAAAGTCATTGCAGTCTTATTACTGTGTTTAGCATTTTTTTCTCTTGATATAGATAAATAAAAGCTTATCTCAGGTCTGGGTGCGGTGGCTCACACCTGTAATCCTAGCACTTTGGGAGGCCAAAGTGGGTGGATCATGAGGTCAGGAGTTCAAGACCAGCCTGGCCAAGATGGTGAAACCCCGTGTCTACTGAACATACAAAAATTAGCTGGGCGTGGTGGCGGGTGCCTGTAATCCCAGTTACTCAGGAGATTGAGGCAGAGAATTGCTTCAACCCGGGAGGCAGAGGTTGCAGTGAGCTGAGATCACGCCACTACATTCTAGCCTGGGTGACAGAGTGAGACTCCGTCTCAAAAAAAAAAAAAAAAAAAAAAAAAAGCTTATCTCATTACTTCCCAAGCTCATTTGACCAAAAAACACTCTTGCCTTTTTTTAAAACTTTCTTTTAGAGATAGGGTCTCAGTCTGTCACCCAGGCCAGAGTACAGTGGAGTGGTCATAGCACACTGCAGCCTGGAATTCCTGGGCTCAAATGATCCTTCTGCCTCAGCCTCCCGAGCAGTTAGTTAAGACTACAGGCACGAACCACTACGCTCAGCTATTTTTTTTTTCAGAAATGGAGGTCTCACTTTTATTGCCCAGGCCGGTCTCAAACTCCTGGCCTCAAGCAATCCTCCCGCCTTGACCTCCCAAAGTGCTGGGATTAGAGCCACTGCACCCAAACCAAGAAAATCTCTTAAAAGCTAACAGGTGTTTAGATAAAATACAAACCTGTGTTGCTACAAGAAACGACCTCCAATCGGCCAGGCGTGGTGGCTCATGCCTGTAATCCCAGCACTTTGGGAGGTGGAGGCGGGCAGATTGCCTGAGGTCAGGAGTTTGAGACCAGCCTGGCCAACATGGTGAAACGTCGTCTCTACTAAAAATACAAAAATTAGCCAGGCGTGGTGGCACACATCTGTAATCCCAGTTACTCAAGAGGCTGAGGCAGGAGAATCTCTTGAACCCAGGAGGCGGAGGTTGCAGTGAGCCGAGATTGCGTCATTGCACTCCAGCCTGAGTGACAAGAGTGAGAATTCATCTCAAAAATAAAGAAATGACCTCCAATTTAATTAATATTTGGAAACTTTTTTAATAGAGCAAAAAATAAAGTGGGAATTCAAAATTTTGTATCTTTTAATATGCTACTGGAAGGAAACATGAACCAATCTTGATATATGCTACAGCATTAATAATAACTAATAAAAACAGCTAATCCACAGTGACTATTTATTACATACCAGACACTGCACTAACCCTCAAAATAATCCTTTGGGATATCTGTTGCTTTTTTTTTTTTTTTTTACTTTATAAATAAAAACGTGCTCTATAAGCCAGGCGTGGTGGCTTATGCCTATAATCCTAGCACTTCGGGAGGCTGAGGTGGGCAGATCACCTGAGGTCAGGAGTTCAGGACCAGCCTGGTCAACACAGCGAAATCCTTTCTCTACTAAAAATACAAAAATTAGCCGGTCATGGTGGCACATGCCTGTAATCCCAGCTAGCTACTCCAGAGGCTGAGGCAGGAGAATCCCTTGAACCCGAGAGGCAGAGGTTGCAGTGAGCCAAGATCATGCTACTACACTCCAGTCTGGGTGACAGAGCAAGACTCCGTCTCAAAAAAAAAAAGAAAAAAAAAAACGAAAAAAGCTCTATAAATAAAGTTTAGTAAGATTAGATAATTTGCTCAAAGTGAGAGTAAGTAGCTATGTTACCGGTGGAGGGTGTCCAGGTTCTTGGCGTCCTGAACGAAGAATTGGACAAAATGCACAAACAAAGCAAGGAAAGAATGAAGCAACAAAAGCAGAAATTTATTGAAAGTACACTCCAGAGTGTGGGAGCAGGTCAAGCACAGGGGGTCCAGGCCCCAGTTACAGAATTGTGAGGGGTTTAAATACCCTGTAGAGGATCTCATTGGTGACGACTTGGTGTACGCCCTATGTAAATAGAGAGGATGTTTCCTGTCATAGCTGAAGTGTGAATCGACCTTATGTTCCCTGCCTCCAGACCCTATTTTCCTGCCTCAGCTACAGTCTGACTATGAACTCATTTGGTTATACTAAACCCAAGGATCCCAGCAACAACACTAAAGAACAATATGAAAAAATCCTATTTCCTACAAGTACACGGTAGCAAAGGGAGAGATGCGACCTTCTGGTGTTACAATAATTGGGTAATCATTAGTTAGGCTGCTTTTAAATGTATTGTTTATGTTGAGTAATTTCTATAGAAATCAAAGACTATGACTATTAATATTCTCTTTAAAATATTCCTATTTTGGCTGGGCCTGGTAGCTCACACCTGTAATCCCAGCATTTTGGAAGGCTGAGGTGAGTGGATCACTTGAGGTCAGGAGTTCGAGACCAGCCTGGCCAACACGGTGAAATCCCCATCTCTACTAAAAATACAAAAATTAGCCAGGTGTGGTGGTGCACGCCTGTAATCCCAGCTACTCGGGAGGCTGAGGCAGGACAATCACTTGAACCCAGGAGGCAGAGGTTGCAGTGAGCCAAGATCGTGCCAGTGCACTCCAGCCTGGGCAGTAGAGTAAGACTCCATCTCAAAAAACAAACAACAACAACAACAAAATCAAATACCTATTTTGGCTCATTTATATCCGATATAGTTTGAGTTTCACAATACCTCACTTTTCATGTAATCTTCCTCTGTCAGCTGTAGATCTTGGGAAGGAGGTTTGCATATGTGTGCGAAAAACTCACACCCAAAGTGTTTTTTCTCTATTCTCACTCAACAACAACACAGACTTCTGTGACCAAATGTGGGGAAGCTCTCTTCACACACCAAGCAACCAACCAATTCTGCAGCAGGCACCAGCTGGGTGTCCTCCCAAGTCAATTCAATTCTGACGCTATCTACCTGGAGATAGCCTTGGAACCCACAGGTTAAGGGCTCAGTCCCACAAGGCCACCCCCTCTTTCCCACCAATCCAAAGTCCAGGCCTCTGGAACTTAGGACTTCAAGTTGGGGTTCCCCTTTTTGGGGTTTAACTTCTTAGAGTGGCTCACAACTCAAGGAAACACTTACTTAAGTTTATCAGTTTATTATGAAGGGTATCTTAAAGAATACAAATAAACACGCAGATGGAGACACACAGGATGAGGTCTGGATGGGTCCCAAGCACAGGAGCTTCTGTCCCTGTGGAGCTGAGGGGCATCACCCTCCCAGCACATGGATCAGTTCTTGGTCAGCATCCGCGCGTTCAGCAGTCCTCTTGGGCCTTCTATGGAGACTTCACTGGATAAGCATGATTGACCATTGTGCGGAAATAGCATTGGACAAAAAGGGTATGGTCTAATATGAATAGGCGGAGAAGGAAAAGCCCACAAGGCCTGTCTGTTCACATTCTTCCTGGTCCCTCTGTGCAGCAGTCCTTCCTCCAGGGTATGGAGTAGAACCCTCTTTAGAAGGAGGGTCTTAGGACCTATAATCAAACAAGGTAGGTCAGGGAATTTCTTTATGGACAGCTCCAAGACAAAAAGGTGGAAGATTTCTGCCTTGGGAAGAAAAATAAAGCAAGTGAAAGGAGGGCAGGGGAAGATCAGAGAGAAAGATTCTGTTTTCTGAGGTCTACTGAGTACTAAAGTGCTCCCATATTATAACAAAAACGATGGGAGTGGCAAGCCAGGAACCGTGGATTAAAAACATATATATAATAATACAGTGTAATATAATTGTTTAGTATCCTAAGTGCATGAAATAGCATGACTAATATATATTGAAGTTGAGGAATGCAGTACACAGCATAGATCATTGGTCGTCTGAGACAGTACTCATGCCCATTTGACAGTATGCCAGTAAAAGGCTGTCTCAGTGTCATTGATGGATGGAACATTCTATGTGTTAAATAGATTTCTTACTTTTTTTTTTTTTTTTTTTTTTTT